ACAGCAGCAGTAAGGACACACCGCGAGGAAATCCCGTAAATCTGCTGTACCCGTCTTCGTAAATCCGCGAGTTAAACCCGTATATCTTTGGCATCGATCGCGAGTCCCCCTACCTGCTGCTTCGGCTGCGCCTCGCTCGGTATGGAACTAATTTCGCGGACTTGAAATCCGTTTCAGTCCTCTTTGTCGACTTTGAAATATTACTTCTCTAATAATTCGAAAATTACTATTACTGAGCCATTACACTGAAACCAAACTGATTTATCTTGCTTGAATTGTTGTTTTATGGGTGTTCATGATGCTCAGAATATTCACGGAAGCAGATATTTCAAAATGTTCCTTCGTGGAGGTTTTGTTGCAGGCTGCATTCTGCATTTTGCTTTTTGCTTACTTAGCTTACTTCAGATGACGAGAGTTACTCCTATTAACCTCCACAAATCATCCCTCCCTCTCATCCTTCAGCATATAAGCAGTGCAACAATTTAAAGGTGCGATTACACGGAGCAATTTTTCTCTGCAACTTGTCCCGAAACAGCGTTGCGACACAAGTTGCAAGGAGCATTGCAGCGTGTAACCTACAGCCCAATTTGAAAAATGTTGCGAGACAAGTTGCAGTAATTCCTTGCGTCTCCGCTGCACCGTGTAAACACTCTTGCAACTTGTGTCGCAACGCTATTGCGAGGAGACAAGTTGCAGAGAAAATTGCTCCGTGTAATCGCGGCTTAACTGTCAATAAAAATGGGGGCTACAGGCACCCCAGTAAATACCTTTACATACGAGAGTTCGCGCCATGTTGGATGTTTAACCATTGTCTTGTCAAGTTGGTATTCTTATCCTTATTGTTTTTCTATTCGTTACTACGATTTCTATAAATGAAAGTTTTAATGCTCGATTACACGAAGCAATTTTCTCTGCAACCTGTCTTGCAACAGCGTTGCGACACAAGTTGCAAGAGTGTCTACACGGTGCAACAGAGACGCGATCGTTGCCAAAATAAGAAAGGAATTTTACTTTTCGCAAGGACTGCTGCAACTTGTCTCGCAACATTTTTCAAATTGCGCTGTAGGTTACACGGTGCAATGCTCCATGCAACTTGTGACGCAACGCTGTTTCGGACAAGTTGCAGAGAAAATTGCTCCGTGTAATCGCGCCTTTAGTTTTAATTCCATTTTTTTTTCTTGTTAAAGTTTTATTTTATTCTTTTCCCTCTCACCTTTACTTATTTATTTATTTATTTATATTTTGATTAAGGATATCGTAGGTAATTTAATTATCATTAAAAAAGCGATAGAAACGAGCGACGCTCGGTGTGAGTAACAACATTGATGTTAAGTTATATTAACATGGAAACATCACTCATCAGTTTTATTGCTGATTTTTTATAATTAAAAAAAAAGTTTTTGTTGTTGATTTATTCTATTCATAATTTTGGTTTAATTTTTCTCTTCATTTTATTCTCCTGTTTTGGTTTAGTTTCTTATACTATTTACATTAATTTCTTTTTATTCGGTTAGTTTAATTTAGTGTTAATTGATAAAAAAGGAGGAGTAGCTATTTAATTTAAAGCCTTTATTTTCCTTCTCAAGCCATGTTTTATTTAAATTTTTTAAAGCTTCTAATCATTTTTTCGTTTTTCCGTCAACCTTATCATTCAAAGTACAACTGAAAATGTCGAGGATTCTAGCAAATAAATTGCTCTCAAAATAATAACTTCCTAACGACCTCTCGAGATCTTACTTTAAAATGACAGTCGCACAGAGAGATTTAAATTTTGCTCAACTTTCAATTACATATAACAGACTTCATTTGRACACCAGTTTATCCCATTACAGGGCTTGGAAGTAAAAAATTCTCAGATATGCTAATGAGACAAAATGTCTTAATTGTTGGTCGAAATGTAAAGCTTCACTTATTAAGCCCATTCAGTTTATTCATGTCACCACGCGTTTTGGTAGGACGCGAAAATAAATGATTTTAAAATCGCACTGAATATCATTTAGCAGTTTTCCATACGAGGATTCGTATGAAATAACAATGAGTAACAGATTCATTGTTCATTTAGTTTTTGCTGATTTATATCTGGAAAATTAAATATTACTTCAAATGTAAACACCTGCGGATAAATAATACCAGTCAGGTTTTATCGACTAAAAATTGTAAGCCAGTTGGTTCTAGATTTTAGATTTTTTATGACTTGTTTGGTGATGGCTTTGTTTTCTCTGTCAGGAACTGGCGTCTTCCCAGGATCTCCTGTCATCTACACTGTGCTGAAGGGACAGAGCTTTAGAGAGCACTTTTTTTCGGAAACTGAGGGTATTTTGCAAGGATGGATTTCAGTAGGACGGACTGCCAAAACAAAGGAGGCGATAAATCGCGAATCATCATCAACGTTGGGGGATTTCGACATGAAACGAATATCACAACGCTACAGAACATCCCAGATACTCGCCTGGCTTGGATCGCTGAGAACTCAGCAAGCTCCGACGAGGCAGGAGCTATAGAATATTTTTTCGATCGTCACCCTACCGCCTTCGCCCAAGTGTTGAATTTTTACCGAACAGGGAAACTACACTGTCCGCCAGAAATGTGTGGGCCGATGTACGAAGAAGAGCTTATATTCTGGGGAATTGACGAGAAACAAATGGAGCCTTGTTGTTGGGGGAAGTATACACAACATCGCGAAGCAGAAGAAAATCTCAAAGCATTTGTAGGTCCAGGATTTGAAGACCTACGATCACCCGATGGTTTTATTGGACAACATTTAGGATCACACGGAAGCTTGGACGAGGGGCTTTCACGATGGAAGAAATGGCAACCAAGAATATGGGAAATATTAGAAGAACCGCACTCTTCGAAACTCGCAAAGGTAAATATCTTCAACTAGTTATAGTAACGGTTTATTTAGTTGAGATAAGTATCGATGAATCGTTTTTACACGTTATAATTAACATTCACGGGCTCGAATCCTGTTTAGTGAAATCTGATTTTTTGCCAAACCCCTACATAACCTAGTGACTATATTGAATATTCTTTCTATCATTTTTTCGTAGCTAGCTTCTTATATTCTCTTCTATTTATCATTATCTTTTTTGACAACGAGGTGCGGCAAAACAATTACAGCCACTTCTCATTATAATAATCATCAGAAATTCTACAACTTCGTATAGATAAACAAAATAGCATAGATTTTTAATAATTAACTCGTTTTCTTGGTTTTGCTTACTTATCTTAATTTTGTCTCTTATGATTTTGAAATTTTAATTTCCTCCAATTAATTCTACAAATTGAATAAATGGGATAAATAGAAAATGAATGGGAATTATCATTGGATTTCACAGAATGGGTCTTTTCCCGCTAGACTCCAATTAGAATTGCGAGGTTGATTTTTATTGGTTAATCATAAACTTTTCTCTTAATCTTTATATCCAAATTCTAACTAAGATTTTTAAGAATAATTATCTGCTATATATATA